AGTTGCGTAGCCTCGTCTGACGTAATCACGAGTTGCGTAGCCTCGTCTGACGTAATCACGAGTTGCGTAGCCTCGTTTATTCGCATCAAACAGTTGAGAGGGTAACTAGATGGAAAAAGTCTAGATTCGAATTTTTATTTTTTAAATTTTTTGCAAATTTTGAAAAGTTTGATAAAAATTCACTACAACTGGATGGAAACACGAAGCATGAATGGAGCAAAGAATACAGATATTCTAAAATGAAATGTTTCACCTTCCAACATGACAACGACCTAAAGGACACAAAGACGACAACACAGAAGTGGCTTAGAGACAACTTTGTGAACGTCCTACAGCAGAACAGCCAGAACCTCTGATCTGATTCTGAACCTCAGCAGAAGTCTCTAGAACAACCTGCACATGGCTGCAGTGCTTCCTGACACTTCACATCCATTCAGACTCTGTGGAGGATTACTGGCAGAAAATCTTCCAAATGTTCAAAGCCTGTTTGCATCAAACACAAAAACACTTGAGGCTGTAACTGCTGTCAAAACGTGCTTCATCTTGTTACTTTGTAAACCAAATAATTTAGGAAATGTCACATTTTTGCCTTATTTTAAAAATAAATCTGCAATACAGTTTAAAAATGTTTTGAATTTGTCGTTTTGTGGGTCCTGTGTTTAGATTACTGAGAAGGAATTAACACAACTGTAGTGTCAGATTGCAACATACAATTGCAAATAATGAAGGTGAACAGGAGACTGGATATTATCTGAAGCCTGCTGTAAATGCAACGGTTCTCAAATAAATCCTACTTTCCTACTATTCATCTTTTTGGTAAAACTATGCTGAAAGGTTTCAGTTGCTGTTGAACTGTGCAGACACTGAACTGTGGTATGATAAAGGCAAACCCTTTAACAAGCATGTAGTCTGGGAGGAGCTGCTCATTCTCCTGTTGTGCAAGTCTTAAGTAAATAATTTCACGCAACACTTGAACAGATCCAGACAGTTTTAGACACTTCGGTCCATTGGCAGACATCATTTTAGTTCAGGGTTCTGTTAGCTGGAACTACAATCACAAACTGGTGTCTTCCTGGCAGTGATGAATAAAATACTGAAGAAAAAAAAACCTCAAGTACAGCAACTTTCTGATCTGTCCTCTGAACTGTGAGGGACAACATCCGGGTTCTCACCATGTGACAGGCAGTGTCCTCACATGACAGGAGGCTGTGTTGCCAGATTGGGCTGGTTTCCACCCAATTAGGCTGGTTTTGAACTTGTGGGGCTGGAAAAAACAGCTTTGGGCTGGTTGTTAAAATTTGGGCTGCTTTTTACCACATTTGGCGGATTTTCAGAAAGTATTCATAAGGAAATTATATCAAAATATCAAATATCAATTCCAAATAGAGGGGAGACTGAGTTTCTGATATTCTGAGGACCTACCCCCTCCTTCTGCAAAACAATCTGAGGCTATTAGTTTACTTTTGTTTTGCATACTGTATGCTTGCAGTGAACACCTTTACCCACCCCATTCTAATGATGAGTGTCACCCTATAAAACACCATCTTTTCAGTGCTACAAAAGTAATGATTCAATGCAGATGGGTGCTAATGGTGTATTCTTTATTAATATAATACACACACACACACAGCGGGTAAAATAAGTATTGAACACGTCACCATTTTTCTCAGTAAATATATTACTAGAGGTGCTAATGACATGAAATTTTCACCAGATGTTGGTAACAACCCAAGTGATCCATACATACAAAGAAATCAAACCATAAATGTCCAGGAGGACAACAGAGCTGCTTCATGG